TGGATGTGCTACTGATGCTGTAGCAGAGCGAAGTCCTAGCATTGCTCTTGCTGTTGTTACAAGGGAGCATCAGTACAACTTAATTCACAGCATTATCATTTAAATACCTGTTCTTGTTTAAAAGGGGCAATAAAGGAAATTTAAATTTTCAATTTATCTCCAAATGGCTGTGAAAATCCAAGTAAAATCTAGCTTCAGGTAAAATCATGCTAGATTCAGCTTGTGTGATCTTGCAGGGAAGCTATGCTTGATCAGGATCTGTCTTTCTGCCAGGCAGGGGATCAGAACATGAATAAAGTTGCCATCATATGCTGGACATACTGCACTGGCTTCCTTAGTGTCAGAAAGCATGAAGCCAAGAGTAAAACCCTTAAGGGTATGCCACACATCTATTTAATCATTTAAATGTTCAAAATGTTGGCGTTTGTGTAATCACTATGAAATCCAGTTATGCAAACTATAGCTTGGTTGCAAACTAGTTGTTACTAATATGATAAAAGCCAAAGTGTGAAGGATTTATTTCCCAGATGCATTTTCTTTCTACAGTTTTAATTGGTAGGTGCTATCTAGCTGCATAACTGTAACTGTTGGTAGACTGATATCTTCTTATTCATTAAATTTGAGTGCAGTGTTTTTGGACAGGGGTGAGGTTTTTCCAAGCTGAGAGAGACAACCTGCTATGTGGGTAGTCTTTACAAATTTGGCAACAGACTAACAAGATTAGGAAAAAAATAGTTACAGGTTAATTGCATTATACTAAGAAATGTGTTATAATTGAAATCAGAAATGTAAGCACTTATTTGTAAATCTAATCTTTCTGCCTGTACAGGACTTTTTTCTGTGTTACTTAGTATAGGTTAGGTGCTATAAAATAATTGCCGTTTCATGTCAAAGTTTAAACTAATCAGGCAATGAGATTTTCATAATTTTTCCTTGGAAGGCTATTCCACAAGTTAGGGAGGTGGTGCAGGCTCCTACCCTGGGGGTTTTTAAGAAGAGGTTAGATGAATACCTTGCTGGGGTCGTTTGACCCCAGTACTCTTTCCTGCCATGGCAGGGGGTTGGACTAGATGATCTTCTCGGGTCCCTCCCGAGGCTAGAAACTATGAAGCTCTCTCCCTTGGCTGGCTGGTTTGCTTTCTGAATCTTTGCTCTAGAAGATAGTTCCTCCTTGATCATTTTCCTTTTCTCTATCTACGGACTCTACCACATCTTACACTTAAGACACGATAAACCAGTTAATCATGTCTTAAGTTGTCCCCCAGCCATACGTACAATCAATTAATGGCATGATAAAACAATGAATAAGCTGCAAAGCTACTCCAAAAATGTATAACAACTTTGTGGCAGGTTCTTACTGTGCCATTAATTGAATATGTGGGTGGTAGCCCCATCAGTTGACCCAGGCTCCCAGCTGTGTGGACACACCATGCACCTCGAGAGCTGGGATCCTGCAGCTGACCTGAGTTGTGAGCCACAGCGATGCACCCAAAAGCCCATGTTGGCGGGAGCCCACAGTGGACCTGGACTACTGGGTGCATCCCTACAACTGAGTCCAGGTCAACTGATGGAGCTTGCTACTTGCTAGTGCAGGGGGAGCCTGGCAGTAAGGTGTGATGGGATGTGATGTGTGATCCCATAACCATGCCTTCTGCCATATATGTGCAGCATGGCAGGAAGCACGATTGTGTGGATTGCACATCAGAGCCAATCAGACCTTTATCAGCACAACTGGTAGAGGCCCAAGACTTTCATCAGTTTTGTCAAAATCTTGGCACAGTCTCCTTGGTACAGCTTTAATTAACAGGAAAAAATGTCTAACACTTATAATTAGATCAAAACTTGAAAATGACAATACCTGAAATTAACAACAGGAGGTAATATCTCCATCAAGTAATTTGTTCATATGTACATTTTCATTGTGGGTGTGCAGAAATCTCATGAGCTGTCTTGGAAGCTTTCTGCCTCACCAGTGTATGTAGGTACATGGTAGCCCAGCCACTCCCTGTATCCTGGGCTGAGGGGATAAAGAGTGGCATGCATTTCTCATAGATTTCATAGACATTAGGGCTGGAAGGGACCTTGTGAGATTGTTGTGTCCAGACCCCTGCCCAAAGGGCAGGAAGTCAGCTGGGGTCAGATGACCCCAGCAAAGTAAGCATCCAAACATTTCTTGAACACGTCCACAGTAGGTGCTTGCACCACTTCTAGGGGGAGTCTATTCCAAGCTCTTGAGACTCAGACGGTAAAGCAGTTTTTCCTTATGTCTAGTCTAAAATTGTCTTCTAGCAGTTTGTGACTGTTAGACCTTGTCTTCCCTTGGGGTGCCCTGGTGAACAGACATTCTCTCAGTTCCTGATGACTGTACTTACAGACTGCCACCAAGTTACCCCGAGCCTTCTCTTCTCCAGGCTGAAGAGTCCCATGGCTCTCAGCCTCTCCTCATAAGGCCTGCCCTCTTGACCTCTAATCATGCGGCATCGCATTGGTGGCTTATGTTCATCTTGTGATCAATCATGACCTCCAAATCTCTTTTGGTTGTGGTGCTAGTGAGTGAAGCACTGCCAAGCCTGTAAGTATGATGTGGGTTCTTTCTCCCAAGGTGGAGCACCTTGCATCTCTCTGTGTTGAAGGTCATTGGGTTTTGTTCCACCCACCTTGCAAGCCTGTCCAGGTCGGCCTGAATTGCCAGCCTCATGCCACATTTCCTGGACACTGTTTCCAGGTGGACTAGTTTGTTGCACAGTTGGCCATAATTCTGGACAAACCTTTTTTTTTTCTTCCTCCTAAATTCTGACTTCAAAAAACAAGGTGCATGGTCTTTTTGTGATCGTGTGTGTGTATATAAGAAAATAAGGTATTCCTTGTTGCCCTTCTCCTCAGACAGATCATAGAAAAGTAGGGCTGGAAGAGACATCAAGAGGTCAGGAGGTCCAGCCGTAACTCAGTTTATTCCTACCATTATAGTCAACTTTCTACAATGGAAAATAATTTATACTTGTAAACAGATGCTATTTTTTTCCAAATATTCTACAAGGACCAGTGATACTACCCACACATTCCTTAATATAGTTTAAACCATTCCTGTTTAAACTATTCCAGAAAAGTTTTTGTCTAAACTGCTGTTAAAAACGTCCAAAGATAGAGATTTCACCACCTCTCTGGGTCGCCTGTCTCACAGTTCTTCCTAGTGTTCAACCTAAATTTCCCTTACGGCAGTTTTAAGAACGGTATTCCTTGTTCCTCCACGGCTGCCAAAGAGAGCTTGTGGGCAGCAGTCCCTTGATACAAAGATGATATAATTGTCTTATTACCATTGTCCTCTTTATAGCCACCTTTCAGGTATTTGAAGGTTGTTATTAAATCCCACCTCAGTCTCTTCTTCTCCAGACTAAATAATGCTAGTTCATTCAATCTTTCCTCACAACTCATGTTTTCTAGGCCTCTAATAATCTTTGCACTCTGCTGATCTCTTTGTCCACACCTTTCAATCATGCATACTATCAATATGCATACTATTG